CAAGTATACATTAATTGACTGTAGTCATCATAGAGTATATTAGGTCTACGAAACTTGCTCATCTACTCATCCTATAACCATATGTCTGTATCCTTTGATCAATATCTCCCTGTTTCCCTCATGCCACAGCCCCTGATAACCATACTCACTCACACACACACACAAACACACACACACACACCTACGGGTGAGAGGGAGGGAGAAAGACAGTCATATATCAGCAGACGAATCTGTATGACTACAAAAGGAAGAAAAAATAGTAACTGCATTAAAAAAAAAGTGGTGGAAAATTCCTAGAGGCTCACACAGACTTTGATAAGGCTGTTTATGTTCTCATCAGTAAGGTGGAAAGACTTCCTAACACATGGAGTGCCAAGCAGAAGTAGAGTCTTCTAGTGTATTATCTTACATATTAGCCCTAAGCTAAGGAAAAGACTTGCTCTAACCTCACAAAGGGCAGAAGCAAGCCTCAAGGCTTTAAACTGAGTCTGACTAACTCAACTATATTTCAGAAAAAAGACGTCAATATCTGAAGGAATACAAATATACCGCTGAAGAAAACAAATCACAAGATCTGCATCTAATCAACATTACCAGGCATGTATATAAATAAAATATGATTCATAATCAAGAGAATGCCATAATCACTAATGACAGAATTGTCAGATAAAGATACTAAAAGAGCAATATAAACATATTCCACATATTCAAAATGGAGAGAAAAACATGAACATAATTAGGAGCATAATGAAAGGTATAAAAACACCCAAATTAAACTTCTGGAGATGAAAAACATAATATCTGGTATAAAAATATGCTGGATAGAGTTAGTTGCAGATTTAACACCACAGAAGATGTCAATAAATAAATAAATTTAGAGATGCACAATAAACCCTATCCAAATTAAAACACAGAAAGAAAAAGTATGAAGAAAAAAATGAATAAAGTGTCATGTGAGAAATATCGAGCAGTTTAGTTTAGATGCAGCTATACAAAAGGAGAGGAGAGATGGTGTTGGGGTAAAGAAAGAAGAAGCAAAAATATGTAAGCAACCAATGGCTGAAATTTTTGGAAATTTAATAAAAATTACAAAGAGCAAGTAGTAAAAAGTTGAAGGCAGAAATGCCAAAATTAAATTCAGAAAATAGGGAAGTTAGACTATGGAAGTATGATGTTGCTATATATGATCTATATATACATTATATCATCAATTCATAATAGGGTCATAAAACACAATAAACCCCAAGCAAAAGAAATAAAGAAAAACACACACAGGCACTCCTTAATCAAGTCAGTGAATGAGCCAGACAAGTGTGCCCAAATGCAGCATGTGATGTGTTCATACACAGCACTGGACACCTTTAGTTGATAAGGGGACAGGGCCAGAGCCCATTTGTCTTTGATGCTGGAAGCAGTATCTCAAGTATCAGCACACAGGATCCTCAGGAACTCAACTGAGGCAGCAGCCACTGTTTGCTGCCTCATCCAGAGACACACAGATATGCAGTCTTTTTTTCATAAGCACTGCTCCAACATAATGCTCTATGGATTGATGAGCCAGTCAGTTTCTGTCAGGAGAGTTTATGTGTGTTTGAGGAAAATCAGAAATTGTGTTCTGCTGTGTCAAGTTAAAGAATTCTATGAGATTTATTTGTTTGAAGAAAAAAATATTCTCCAGTTCAGTGGTCCTCAACATTTTTGGCATCAGGGACCAGTTCATGGAAGAAAATTTTTCCACGATGGGAGGAGGGTGAAGGGGGATGTTCTGTCAAACCCCACTGCTATGTTAATCTGTATTTAAAGTCACTCCCTAGCACTAGCATCACTGCCTCAGCTCCACCTCAGATCATCAGGCATTAGATTCTCGTAAGGAGTACACAACCTAGATCCTTCACATCTGCAGTTCAAAATAGGGTTCACTCTCCTATGATAATCTAATGCCATTGCTGATCTGACAGGAGATGGAGCTCAGATAGTAATGCAAGCCAGGGGAGCAGCAGTAAATGCAGATGAAGCTTCACTTGCCCTCAACTCACTTCCTATTATGCAACCCAGTTCCTAACAGGTCATGGACACTACTCGTGTCCATGGCCTGTGGGTTGGGAACCCCTGCTACAGTTAATACCCATGTAACATTTTATTCAGTATAGGTACCACATTCAACTGCAGTTAAGATCTGATTTTTAACTAACTCACATTGATTGGCTGAGGAATAAATGTCTTCTTCACAGACAAAGCAAGTGAATAGTAGGACACCATAACACCATTAACCTATCTTTTATTATTTTATTTAAGATTTGGTTAATGCAGTAATCTCTGTGATATCCCTAGGGATTTTGTATTGTTTCATGCAAACCTCTGTTTTTTTTTTCCCTAAAATACAGGTTCCTACTGCGGGGGTCCTGCCCCGTGAGGGTTGTGAGATGTCCTGAAGGAGAGACGGATAGGCGAAAGATGAAGATAATATACCCGGACACCTGCTTCCTGAACAGATAACAACTTAGTGTTAGTTAACACAGAGCTTTTATACCATTTGTAAAGGGGCAAGACAAAGAAAATTCCTTCACGTACATATGCTCTACAAGTTACCACCATCTAGTGGTCTTAGCAATAAACAAGCCAAGAACCCTGTAAACATTCAGACAATGAGTCTTATTCATAAGTCCATAGATGATAGTTTTAGTCCAAAGTCCCGAATTACAGTCCTTGAACCGTCTCCAGAAAGTTTAGCAGTAGTCTTCCTTCTGGGCTTTATGTCCTTCAGAGTTCTGTAATCGCCTTTGTTGTCCAGGTGTCTTCATTATTTTCCTCTTATCCTGCAGTGCTTGTTTCTAAAGAAAACTCAAAAGAAGCTTTTAGTAATGTTTCCCAGGCCCCCAAGGTTGCTTCTGTCTTTAGCTAAGTTATCATAAAAGTGTCTGATTAGTATATTATGAGTTCAGTGAAAACCCACTCTATAAATGTTAACTTAGAGTTTTAACTATTGAATTAAGTAAAAACCTTAACAATTAATCTTTATCCTAAGTCAGTGAAAAGTGTTATAAATCACCCACATAACTCCTATAATAAGTGTTAGAACTTATAATGAATTCATAATGAACTTACTATAAACTTGTGCTTCTAAAAAACCTTATGTCTAAACACTAAACTACATAATTCTAAATCAAATAAGGAGTGAGTATACTTATACCATTTATTACTTAAGCAATATCTAGTAACTTATAACCAAGTGAAAGAAAGCATTCTTGATGTGCTTCAGAGTTTAACCCTTGCATATGTTAGAAAAGGTCAAGCGGCATAGTGGGAAATGGAAAAATGAGCCATGACATTTCCAGGTTAGCTGTGAGTACTTCACATAAACATGCCATTTTCTTCTTCCACAACTGCACGGAATTTCTTCAGCTGTACCAACAGCAAAGACAGAAGACAGAAGGGCCTCAGCTGCCCGGACTCACTTTGTCAATCAGGCGGGCCTCCAAGGCTGGCTCCCAACAGTTTTCTTTCTTTTTATGTACAACAGGTCATCTGATATGCTCAGATTTGGAGCATCTATTTATTCAGAGGGCTGGGATGTTGAGGCTGCCCTGTGAACCATGGCGTTACCATATCTCTGAGCTGCTCTTTACAGCTATTAGAATTCCTCACCAGGATTTGATCAGGATTCACTGTGAAAGAGTGTGTGAAAGTGCTCTGATAAAAAAGAAAATAAATGGGGTGGATGCAGTGGACCATGCCTTTAATCCCAACACTTTGGGAGGTCAAGGCAGGCATCAAATTAATATTTGAGGACAGGAGTTCAAAATCAGCTTGGACAACATAATGAGACCCTAATCTTTACCAATTAAAAAAAAGTAAAGAAAGTGAAAAAAGTGAAATGAACCTCGTTTAAGCTATGGCTGAGCCGGTTATAAACCCTTCAGCCTTAGAGAGAAGGAGTAACACTCCAGGGAGCCAGTGACCCTGTCCTTAATAACGCTGTCCTATGAAGAACTATTTCCTCTTTCCGCATCATGAGTGCTGCTCAGTAAGCCATCACCATCCCTTATAAAACAGACTGATGGTGCCAAATGCTGGTGAGGATTGGAGATACTGGAGTGTAAACAGGTACAGCCACTTGCAGGAAACCCTTTGGCAGTTTCTTAGAAAATTTTGCATATGTCTGCCTCACAACCAAGGAATTCTACTTCTAGGTATTTATTCAAGAGAAAGGAAAGCATGTGTCCACAAAAAAGTGTGTCCATACTGTATGTGGCAGCTTTATTCATAACATTGAAAGTCCCGGAACTATCTAGA